TGTGTTTTCTAAACTTCGCTTTCTTGTTTCAGTAACACAGCTGCAGAAGCTATTAAAGTAAAGTTATTTTCATAGGGCAATAAATCTTATTTTAATAACTTTAGACAACCACCGAAAGCAGCTGAGAGCATCAGTTCGGCACCATGTACTGATCTATAACGACCCTAATTTGTTACATGTACGTAAATCGTCAAAAATGGCTTCTGGATATTGCGTGAATAAGTGACGATGAGAAAACTTCAGGATGCTACAAAGGCAATCTAGTCGAGAGTTTTTCTACCGCTTGAGTTTGCTATCAGCGTGGATCAAAAACGCTCTTGACCAGAATTTCGATTTATCTTCAACATCGTTCTGGAAAATGCTACTTGATTTTTTTATAAGTTGTGTCAAGAGTGATAGCTTTTTCTAACATGTCATATGTCATGCCATCTCATGCTTAAGCAACAGGAATTTTTACCCATGTATAAAGTGACACTGAAACTGCAATAAAATTTTTTATCTTAGATAAAAAGCCTTAGTTATGCTGTCAAAATATGAATGCGTCAGTCAATTGAAACCCCAACCCCCACGGCATGGCGGGAGATAGCGGGGATTTAACACACATTTAACAACGTGTTGTCCGCTGGGGGCGGTGGAATTAACAAGATGCTTGTCCCACCCGGGTCATGAGCGGGGATTTAATAAGCACGCATTTTCGGAAAAGGGAATAGCAACGGGGAACTGTATCCTTTTTCCGCAGAAACAGTTGTTTGAGGGCATCAACTCCCTTTGAGATTTGTGGATTCTTTGAAGTCTCTAGAAGTTCTATTATTGTATTTTTAAACCTCGCTGAGTGTGACATGCAGTGTTCTGATAATTCTGATAAGTGACAGGTATTCTTATAGGTACACGGAAATGGAAGTGCATGCATGTATAGGGAGGTATAAACGCAGTAACTGTTCAAAATATAAAAGACAACAACATTTGGACATCCACATCACCATGTGAACAAATTACATTGTGCGGCTCCGATTTCCTGTGCACCTCTCGTGAAGGAAGGTGGCCAGGGGATACCCAGATGCCATTTCAAAATAACCAGAATTAGTTCCATGGCACTGTTACAAAACAAGTCCCTGTTTCAGGTCTTAAGGGTGGATTTCCTGACCCTGGTCTGATGTGCGCATATCATGATCGAATTTGAATGTTGGTCATATAAAGAGGTCTAATCTCACCGCAGTTGGTCAGTATAGTTAAATATATGGTTGAATTTAAGAACAAGTACAGTTGAGACCAGCAAATACTGTAAATCCAAACTGAATCGTGTTTATTGTTTATGAACCACTAACAAAAATTAATGTTGGGCCTGAGGAGCCGGGAAATTAGCGGTGTTTTAACAAGTGGCCAATGTTAAATTCCCCACCAAGTCGCGGGGGTCGGGGGGCCGGAGTTCCAATAGACTGATGCATAATGTCATGCTCTTTTAAAAAAGCTATGTTTTATCCAGAGATTTATAAAGTAAACAAGTTGCAACTGAAAAGATACCATTATTTAACTTCGAAATATTTGTTGTGTTATGCATGTATGCAGTTATATTTTGTTGTTGCAAATGATTAACAAGCTTTCTTAAACTAGCTGGAACTTTTTTCTATTGTAGCACCACTTCGTTAATCCCAAAGAATTTAATTTGGGAAGGGCGAAATTTCGAAGTTACTTCCACCAAACTACATTGAACAGCATTGAACGTGTCAGGGGGGAAGCAATGCGTCATGCCTCCAACACGCAGACTCGTCACAACGGTGCTCATGCACATTACAGGCCCATTAAGCAAACTCAAATATATTATGTTAACTAGTAATAACAAAAGGTTTCGGAGTGCAGGCGACAACGATTGAAGGTCAAAATCACTGTGCTTTGCGTACTAAGTTTCACGTGAGTGATAGTCAAAACACGCATAATCATATTACGAGTGATGGAAGGTCCAAACGCGCCTGATCATATTGCGTTCTGTGCATTCCATTCATTCTTAGTGGAAGTCCAAACAAATGTTGGCTACATATATGCAACGCATGCTTAATAACAACCTGAAGATTAAGATTGCAGGCTCCTCTTGTCGCCTGCAATAAATTCCTACTTTTAACTGGTAAGGTATTGAGAACGCTCTGAACAACGATTTAAAAAAGGATGATTGAGCTCAAAATAAACATAAGTAAAACAATTGCTAGACATTGGCTAGTTTATGCCCATGTGCTATGCAATGCATTGAATTTTATGATAATTATTATGTTCAGGTGGAGTTATGCTCCATACTCCATGTTGTACGCCTGTGTGTGTGGGTGAATCTTTCGCATTTATACAAACATAATAAGCTAAAATATGAAAGAAACAGTGTTTTGGAGGAAACATCATGTGGTCTAAAATCAGGCTTTGTTCACATTATACCGCATACTAGCTTTTAAGCCGGCACGAAACATGGGTAGGGCTAGCCTTCTTTTCACAAATAAGAACGGTTATTTCGGAGAGAAAGGCTGTGAATCAAGGGCTTAAGAAATTTGATGTGCCATTGGCTGAGCAGGCAGATCAGATGAGACAACACAAGTAAGAAAGATAACACCAACGTATCGCCACCAACTACATCTACTCACATTGCGGAAAAGACTGCCACTCCCGCATTTGACAGTGCAGCTACAGAAGACGCTGTCGAGTCCACCTTCATCAGGGTGGAAATCCATAGCCTTCCACGACTGACGGATGCTGCTACAGTGTAAGCTCTTGTGAGCGGACACCCTCGGCACGCGGAAAAGGTGTCCGACAACTTACGGGATTGTTCAAATACAAAGTTTGTATGGGAGTTGGGAAAAATGGGGCTTTGTGAAGGCGGTCGTCTGTAGAGCTGTCCGCTTACAAGAGTGTCCGTTAGGAGAGCTTCCACTGTATTCACTTAAAAACATGCCTATATGTCTTCTTAACCTTTGCCTTTCCCTCAGCAGTTGCAGGGCATAAGGGGATGTTTATTCGAGCAGACATAGTTAAACCTCTCTACAACGGCCACATAATGATAATAATACATGGTAAAATAAGAATTATATGAAAGAAGATCAAAGATTTTTTTTCAGGTTTCTTTTCTCAACTGCAAAGTTGCGTCTATAAATGCGACGATCCTCTTTCATATAATTATTCACCCCGCAGTTCCCATATATGATTTTCATATATTCATAACTTCATTATTATCCTTTCACATTTTTATAACGCACGAACTCAACGACCTGCTCCCAGTTGGCTTGTTAGTTCAATTGGTAGTGCGCTGCACCGGTATCACAGAGGTCAAGGGTTTGAATCCCGTACAAGCCTGAATTTATTTCAGTCTTTCCAAGTTTAAAAACAAGCTAAACGTGCTTACCTCCATCATTGTTAAATAGTGCATGTTTATTGGGAAGTTTAGGAGAGAAAGGGTGGTTCAGGTCTGCAAATAATTATACTCCAAATAGCAGATGTTGTCCATTGAGGTGTGTTTTTGCTGTTCTTGCTATATGTTTTTAGACAATAGTTTAAAATGAAACGAGTAAAATGTTCCACCATTACTCACTTCGAAACCAACTCAAACTTGTCCCCAGGTCTTTTTGGTTAACAAGACAATAATCTGCAATGTTGCTGCACTTTTGACATCATCGGTTCATTTCAATATGGCAAAATTCTTTTAAATTTGGTCAACAAAGGCAGGTTATAATGAATTATGCGTGTGATTTTAGCCAATCAGAAACGGAGAAACATTTTGAATGAATAATAAATATTGATATGGTATTTGACTCTTCTTTTTCTAGTACCTGAAAAATTCCGGACAAGCTACGCTGCTGGAGGCATGGCTGGACGGCGTCCTTTTAATTTTAACCAAACTGGTTTAAACTTGTTACCTTTACTCGGGAGTCCATTGGGAAATCCCCAGCAGCTTTTGAGTCAGTTACAAGGGTTACGAGCTCCTCAGTCAAACATGGGTGTAGGATCATTTGGTCAAGAAAGTTATGGAAGACAGAGAATGCAATTCACTGATGATTGTTTCAGAAGGGAACTGCCTGGCTTTGACCACAGAGAGAGGTCCTTTAGAGAGCCATACATGAGATCTCAAGGGAAGGACAATTACTCTTGCGAGAATCGTGATAGAGTTCATGGGCTGATGGACAGGGAAGTTCCATAAAAATAGATTTCCTGTTCCCAGAAATGGGCTCCGACGGAAATGAAGAGAAATATGGAAGGGAGAATATGGAGAGGCAAAGTTATGGTATGCACGGCAGAGGCAGATCAAGGTCACCTGTCCGATCTAAGGGAGACTTAAGAGATAGGCAAGTTAGTCCTAGCGACAGAAAGTATGGATCCAGAAATGACTTAGTTGTTCCCTGGAATGCATTGCTTTGCCGTCATTGCTATCTTGTACCCCCCTTAGATGACACCTATGTTTTGGTATTAAGTGGGAAACAACCAGGATGTCGCACAGTCTTCATTGGTGGTCTTCCAAGCATGGCCGACGAAGACATTGTCAGGGAGATTTTCAGTGTCTGTGGGCCTATTGAACAGATAAGCCTAAACAGTGTCCGAGCAAGTACACAAGTAAAACACTGCCAATTCTCAAACGCTTTCTCAAACTTGACTCTGTTGAGAGGGCAGTAAAGTTCAATGGTCATGTACTGGTCATTGGAGATGGTCGCGACAGAAAAACAAAAATTGGTCGCATTCGTGTTGATTATGACAAACTGCCTGGGGGTAGTGAAGAGGTGCAAAGTGGCATGGTAGTCAAGGAGAAGGCGCAGCTACCTCAAGAAAAGCAGGGACAGGATTTGAGCTTCAAGTTTACACGCAAACAGGCGTTTCATCTTCTGGACCTGATTCGTCATGATCAGGCCTTAACAGAGTCATTTGGTACTGACAGGGGGAAAGGGGAGAGTGTAACCTTTCTACAGTGAATGTGTTCCATGCATTGCTTAACACTGTCAATAGTCTGATCAAAAGGTTAGTGAGCAGACAAAAGGAGCATGAACAATGTCAGTGTAGAGAAACAGAAACAACAGGCTGTGGAAAGAGGCAATGAAATCAAACAGCAATGTAAGTAAACTCTTTAATGCTTAACATTTAATGCAATTTGGCATAATGATAAATGTCTCAGTAATCACTATTCAGGCGTAAAATATTGCATGCAGGAGATTTTCTAATTCTAATCATGTTATATGCAAGGGTGTACCACATCACAGCAGATGTGCAAATGTTCCTGTGTTTATGTTGAAATATAATCAAGGTGTGAGTGTTAAGCAAGTAAAATTAATAATAAAAAAAATAATAATAAAGTTCTGGGGTCAGCAGTTTTAAAGATGGCACATGACAGCCATTTTGAAAGCCTCCACTGACTGCTTTTTCTTTTTGGTAAAGAGTTCCAGTCTCTGATTTTACGTGCAATAAAACTGTGTAAGTATTTGGTTGCTTGGAACTGACTTGAATGAATTTCTTAGGATGGAATTGCCTAGTGCTCTGTCGCCTTTTAAATTGAGTGATGCCACTTTCCTTCTTTTCTCGAGTTTCTCAGAATTTTGTTGACAGTTCCAGGAGTGGTGCTATATTCGTTCTTAGCAAAACATGCTGCTCGTCTCTGCTTACTCGCAATGTCCTTCATCTGTTTTTAAATGTGTGGGTCCCATGGGCAACATCCACATTCAATCAGAGGTTATGCTAAAGGAAGATATGCTTTCCCAACATTTTCTGGTTAAATCTTATTCAGATTTGCTAAGCATGAAAGAAGTAAACAACAAAAGTAACATATTTTCTCTTGTAACTGAAACGTGTATATTAAGTGAGATTGTTTATCTTGTCACTTGATAATGATGCAACGTGAAACTTTGAAATGGTGTGTACATACAGCTGTATGTGTGTAATGAAATAATCATTAATTTGTGGCTCTTATGTACTACCATTAGGTGAAGCTGTATGCAGGGTTTTTGAAGCAGCAACGAAGCAGAAAGCATGGGATCATTTCACAAAGGCACAAAGGAAGAACATCACCCATTGGCATGGTGCCATAAAAAATGTAAGTGTACTCAGTACTTTACTGTTATAAAGTTTATTTTGCTGAATCTTCCCAGGCTGCTCCAGTAAAGTTTGATCAGAAGGCAAAAAAGTTGTTACAGTGGAACCTTGATATAACAAACCTTTGTATATGGAAGTCCTAAGTATAACAAACGATTTTCTTTACCCCAGTAATAGTAAAGCATGTGGAAGAGTACCTTGATATAACGAAACCTTTTGATAGCGAATAAATTTTGCCAGTCCCTTGGCACTTTGTTATATTCAGGTTCCACTTTATTAAGTAGGCAGCAAAAGATTAGATCATAATCCATGCTTGTACGTATATGTGGGGGGAGGGCTGCCCCATCTTGCGTGAGGGAGTCCGGGCACCTCTCCTGGAGTATTGTTAATTTTGGCCGCCCTGAAAAGTACATATTAGTGGATTTTTAGTACGTGGCCAAGGATATAATTTTGCCATCAGAATGGCACCTTTGTTTCATATAATCCCCATATTCTCTATATTTTATATCATATTATGTTTTTTTAATCAAACATAAGCGTTAAGACAAATACCGGTACATCAGATTCATTACCTCTCTTTAAATTAATTTTCTGTGAGTAGCCAGCTCTTCTGTGAAATGTAGATGGGAATTGATTGGCTTTCTCGCACCATTTCTGGAGAACTTTCTTAAAGGTGAAATTATTTACCCTTACAAAATGTAAGTGCAAGATTATGATTTTCTGCTTACAGACCATCTGCCTTGTTATCAGTTGCAGCCATCAACCTTCATTGCCTTTACTGTTATTTAAACCACTCAGAACAGGCCACTTCTAAAAAAACAGCAGCAACAGCAAATCTTTAATTTCCTTTAAAAGTTATCCAGCTTTTACACAATGACAATGTTACATCAATAGCATGCCCATTTAGCACTCGCATAGAACAATACAGTGAAACCCCGCCTTACGGCCACCTTGGTAATACAGTCACCTTGTTATTCAGCCACTTTTTTGGACTCCCGGCTAAATGGCCATACATTTTCTTGTAAAAGAAATCCTTGTTAATACGGCCAAATTTTTCTGTCCCCTTGTTGACCGTACTAACAGAGTTCCACTGTAGAATACAAATTTAAGGGTTGAACCTAATTACAGACTGTTTAAATACTTGCAATCATTGTAGTTAAAGGCATTTGTTTGTTGTATCAAATGTTGATAGCAAGTGTTAACATATTATGTATTGTTAGTTGCTTGAGATAATATTCATTCAGATGAAGACTTGAAATGGTTGTTACTCCACAAGTATCTTGTTGAGTTTCTTTTTTCCGAAATTCCCTAAGTGGACAAAAGGAAACGCAGACCATACCAAAAGCTAAGTTGTAGGCTTTTCATCAAAAAGCTAATTAATATTCTTATAGCTGTCATACAACTCTTGGCCAATCTCGTACATCTTCAGGTCTTTCTGACTTTCCTTGTTAGGTAGGTTAAAGGTGCTAGAAATTCTATGATGCATTCTTCAACCGAGACTCCTCCTTCTGTAGGTTTAAAGCTGTAGTTCTATTGATCGCTTACCCAAGAACATGAACATTACCAATATTTAGTTGTTGTTAAAAGATAAGAATCATAACATCAGGGAGGTAAGGGTGGTGCATTGCTGGAAGCACTCACCACTCACCAGTGTGGCGTGGGCTCAAATCTCAGAGTCAACTCCACGTGGGATGTGTTATGTACTGTTTCTTGCTCCATGAGGCTGCTGGTTTCCCTCTCTTCTCATTAATCAACATTTTCAGATTCCCTATCATTTGGGAACAAGGATGGCACAGTGCTGAGAGTGCTCACTTCCCACCAATGTGACCCGGATTCAAATCCCGATGTTGACGCCATATGTGGGCTGAGTTTGTTGTTGGTTTTCTTCCTTGCTCCGAAAAGTTTTTCTCTGGGAACTCTGGTTTTACCCTCTTCTCAAAAAACAACACTTCCAAATTCCAGTTCGACCAGGAATCAGGTAGACGAAGAACCACTTTGTGGATGTCCTTCCTCCAAATCATTATTTATTTATTTACTTATTTATTTATTTATCAGTCTAGGATACATTAGGCAAAGAAAAACATTAGGTTATTGATTCGTCATTTTATTAAATACGTTGCCAGTTTTTAGTTTTTCATTGACAAGTGGTACAAATGTAAACATATTTCTCCCCGCCTCTCTTTGATAAGTATTAGTTACATCTGTACGTGTATGGGTGATACGTTTGACTCTCTCCTTTGGTTTGTTATTTGAAAGTTGCCATGGTTAAGACTTGCTGGATTGTTACTTAAAACAAAGTACATGCGCCCAGCATTACACAGCTGTTACCTAACTGGAGTCTGATAGTCTGTGCAGAACACAAGAAACAGCCTTTAGTGCCAAATGATTTCCTTGAGAAACTGATGTTTCTCAGTTATTTAGACTTTTAAGGCCTGTTGAAGGTTTGATTGTTATCACCACACACCCAAATTTTGGCAGTAACGTAGCATGCTTCACTCAAATGCCATTTATTTTTCCAGTGTGACAAGTGTTCATGGGGTGTATTTACTTCCCACAGAAAAAAAAGTTACATCCTTCGGTGATTTTGTTACCTCCACGTCCTGCGTCCCTGACGCATAAAAATCCCCAAAGACACAAAATAATTTGTGGTATTCATCCCATAGGACGCAGAGAGATTAATCTAAAGACGTTTTTCTAGAATATCCTGTTTTTGTGATTTCTGTGCCTGTGCTGTTCTTGTGGCTGTTGTGAAACGACTCATTTCTTTTAGTCTTTGTTGTGCTTTACAATAGAAGGAGTATACTACTGTAATTTGGAGTTTTGGAGTCTGTCTTCAGATTAACTATGTGGTTACAAAAGACCCTGGGACTCATTTTTTTTTTCAACTGGGGCTCATTGGTTCTGGACTGGAACTCATGATTTTTCACAAGATGAGTCCTGGGACTCACCATAACTATTATTTTGTAACAGAATCACTGATCCTTTCCAGTCTAACCCAATCTCTTCAAAACCATTCGAGTGCAAAAAAGTAGCACATCACTGTTTACGTGGTCATTCTGTAGACTATGACCATCCAATTACTGCTGTGGCTACAATCCCTCACTCCTTGAGTGAATTGGAAGACTGTGAAGGTAAGTCAATAGCAGTTCTCACTGTTATCATTGTGTGCCGTCCCCAGGAGATCAAATCAGCCAAAGAGGCTGAGATCGAGAACCGTGTCGAGGTAGGTATGGATCTGGATGATGAAGTGCCAACGCTTGGCGGGCTTATCGAGAAACCTGCATTGCAGACATCAGAAGAGGGAGAAAACCAACAGGATCAAGAGGAAGATCAAACAAGCCTATCGACGACAAAAGCTAAGAAGCGGCGAGTGGAAGCTTCAGGTACTGTGTCATTACACCACGGGCAACTATAATTACAAATTTACTCCTAAGGGTGGGTGTGTTAATTATGCACAGTGCAAAGCCTTTGATTGGTAACGGGATGGAATTCGATGAGCTGCCATTAAGAAGCTGCTAACAATATGTCTGGTCTCTCTTTGACCAAGAGGACTGTTCCTGATACACAGTATTACTTGTTTGAAGCTGGTTGTAAGAGATTCAACTCTGTTGATCTTTCTGTTGAACCAGGTAAGTTTTTCCAGCTTCTTCCCCTCAAGGGTTACATGAAAGTACAATATGAAGCTACTCTTGTGAGCTAAGTTTTTTGATCAGCTGGAAGCTTAATACTGATGCTCACTCAAGCAAAATTGGTCTGATCATGCCGGTAGTCGGAGTTAAGGACAATTTAAACAAATGTTATAGCTCAATGTTGTAGTTCTTGTCACTAAGTACAGGTTCTATGAGAACGTGACCAGAGCTCTTTTTTTTCTGTAGCTTCCGTCGGAATCTTCACTAGACACATGTGATGAGCGCAGAGCAAAATTTATTTCAGTAATTGATTAATCAGGTTTTCAAAA